TGGGATTTGTATTTTGTTGTTAACAAAACTATAGACAATGCCATTAGTGTATGGGTTCGAAATAAGGTTCGAATCATGGTTAGGTAATAGGAACATCCGAGTGTTGGAACCGTAGCTCGTAGCTATACCAAATTAATATTTTAATAGTTTATGATGGATAACTTGTTGACATTTTTTTTACAATTAGAGTTAACATTCTTCATGGTTTTCAGTACATAATATCGAGTTGATTTTTTTTACCTATGTTGAGTTTTTTAAGCTTAATGGTTCATTCTTCATGGTTTTCAAGCCCTATTGTAAGGAAACAAGGGTCATGTAAGACTTGAGCCAAGGTATCAGTGGTTAAACCATGTGGGATTCGTATTTTGTTGTGAACAACACTATGGACAATGCGAATAGTGTATGGGTTCGAAATAGGATCCAAGTGTTGGAACCACGGTTTAAGTCATGGTTAGGTAATAAGGACATCCACGTAATCAACAAGGATTTCCTCCGTTCTTTATTTGGAGAGTGAAAGATGATCATAGAGTTATGATTGGATAATTTTGGAAAATCGATGGAGTTAACGAGGCTTGTGAGTGAGATTTTTGTTGTTGGGTTTGACGATACCGATAAAAACATACGGTGAGCCTAGAAGAGCATAAGAAAGAAGACATACATATTAAATTAGATCATATAATATATTAGTTTAAAGGTAATCTTCAGAAAAGTCTAAATATTTTGGTTTATTGGTAATAAATAATAAAAAAGCCCTAAAATTTTGATTAATTAATGAAAAAACCCCAAAATTTGGATTAATTAACGAAAAAAGACGAGATACCAGCTAAATCTGTGAAACCGGCCACAAAGGGTTAATCCGAAGTTTTAGCCGGTAATCTGTCTTTTTTTTGTAAACAAAATTTAATTTGGGATTAAATCGTAAACTGGCCTAAAATATTAGGACTTTTTCTCAGATTTTCCTAATGTTTTCAAATCAAAAGGAAAAGAGAAGAAAATCAACATTTTTATATTTATGCCATTCATTAGAAAAAATAGAGACTTGTAATTTTTGAATACTTCTTTCTAAGGATGTGCTTCGGGTCGGAACCGACCTCAACCGAATAACCCGAAACCAGAATTGGATGAAAAGTAGGAATCGAAACCCGAACCGATTATACAAATATGGACAGGCTCGGTTCGGGTAATACGGGTTTTGATTCGGTTAATAACCCGAAAGGACTGAAATAACCCAAATAAACATTTTCACTATGTTTTTGATCCGAATAACCCAAATAAATTGAAATGACCCGAATAATTCAAATAAACTGAAATGACCCGAATAACTCAAATAAAAAAAAATTTATATTTAGTAAAGAAAAAAATATATTAAATTAATATTTTTTTCCTTGAACTAGATATATAATTTCCTTATTTGGGTTATTCGGACCATTTCAGTTTATCTTGATTATTCGGGCTATTTCGGTTTATTTGGGTTATTCGGGTCATTTCGGTTTATTTAGGTTGTTTGGTTCAAGTGACTATTCACTTAAACTTTTATTCGGATAGTCCGAACCGAATAACCCGAAACCCGAATTTGTCAAAAATAGATACTCGAGAACCGACCCAAATAACTTATTCGGTCCTAATTCGGGTCGGTCCGATCTGGGTTTCGATTTCGGTTCGAGTATTCGTTCCACACACACATCCCTACTTCTTTCTTTCCTCCCCTAATTCGCCCGAAAGTGGACTGATAATTTTATAGCAAAAGTGGACTTATAATTTTATAGCCTATTTTTCCTTCATTCCCATCCATCCTATTCATTTACTTAGTTAAGAAAATTCAAGAACATATTTTCACTTACATTTTCTTAGCTGTCCTTCCCTTCCCCTCCTAGAATTAACTCGATAACACACCATAAATCCAAGGTTGTGATGACTAATTAACACCTTATCATGCGATATCACAAAATAACCAACATGGTTACGAATTGTCGTTGACAAATAGAGAAGTTTTTTTTTATATAAGGTCTTTGTGAAACTTTATAGTTATTCGGAATTTTTGCAAAAGTAATTTATGTGGCATTTTCTCAAGCCACCATATATTTATTCGAGCTATTAAGGATATAATCTAGCCTCTAATTTAGGAATATACTTTATTGTAATTATCTTCCCTTTATTTTGTACATCATTTTTATTATAAATGTTCAATAGAAATATTATCCATATGTGCGATGAATTTATCCAACCTTAAGTGATATAGCATAAACAAGTCCTCTCCTGACCCTAGTATATGTCCCCGCCCGATAAATCCTCCCTCCTATCTACCCTTCTTTAGACAATCGCTCTTACACCCCTTTTCGAGTTCAAGTTAACAATAGAAAAGAAAAGAAATTGATGAAAATAAGAAGAAAATAAAAGAAAATTGGTATTCCCGAGTTTCATTAAAAAAAGGAAGTAAAAAGAAGTTAAGGGAAATGGAATGATCACTTTTCCTCCTAACTTTCTTTCCGGTTTAGAAGGATTTGAAAAAAGAGAACAAAATGATTAATTTTCTTTCTAATTCTCTCCAACCCGATAATACAAAAGAAAATTTTATTTTCCTCTTATTATTTTTTTTCTCTTCTGACTTTCTTTTCTCTTCGTTTATTTTTCTTAAACTCTGGAACTAGGCATTAAGCTTTCTTCTTCAAACTATCTTCTATGGAGAAATCAAATCTTACAACTTGATCTCTTACTTGAAACTTCTTGGTTATGTCGATAACTCCATCTAGTCGACAAGATGGTGATCGGCGTGTCCTCATTCTTATTTGATCTTCTCTTTCTGCAGAGGTTATGGTTGAAGCCCTTGGTCTCAAAGATGCTCGATCGGTATGACGTGCCTTTGAAGCAGCTTATAGCCATGCGTCTGTTGAGCATATACACTAAAAGATAACTCCTTTGTTGCTGAATATGGTCGCAAATTCAAGAATATATGTCATCAACTTTCCTTGATTTGTCATTATGTTGATGATATGGATAATTCGCATTGGTTTTTATGAGGTTTTGGCCATTTCTTTGAAACTTTCTCCACTACCCAATGTGCCGCTAAACATTGACCAGCCTTATGTGACCTTCTCTATCGAGCTAAGGGCATCCACAGTGCATTGAACTCTAAAAAGTTCAATGGAGTGCCACATCATCATTCACTATTTCATACAATTCTATTTATTTTTATCCCACAATGCATTAAACTCTACAAATTCAATGGAACATATTAAAAAATATTTATTTAAAGATTTAAAGACTTTCCTTTTTCCCATTGAAGAGTTTAATGATCATTGAACTCCAAATCCATTGAATGTTAAGGTGGTATTTCACAATGGTGGAGTTGTATCCTTTGAATGACAAATAGACATGACACTTCATTCAACTTTTTCATTAAACTCCTCGGATGCTCTAAGGGTCATGAACTCTTTCTCAAATCCATTCATGACACCACTACGCCTTCAAGCAATCTTTATCACCACTCAAAACTGATCCAACAAACCCTTAAACAAAGTTCTTGGGCCAACATATGTATAACAATGGTGTTGTGTTTAGCTGGACATAGGATATGTAGAGAAGCTTTAGCATTATTCTACAAGATGTGTGCCCAAGTAACAAAACCTAATGATGTGGTGTTTCATTTTTTGATAGCATGTGATTGGCTAAAGTATGCCTCTTATAAATTAATAAGTTAATAAAATAAAAAGTTGAAGATATTAAAAATGTTAAATTTATATGGGTCATGCATCAAAACTGAAGTAAATTTTGCACTTAAACGCTAATTTGAAACAAAACAATAAATATTGGATTGAAACTGTAAATTTTGGTCAACCGCGAAAATCAATTTTATAATATACTTTATTTTTTTTATTAATAAACGTATAAAGTCATAATATTCTAAGTTTTTCTTTTTCTTTTCCTCCGCCAAGACCAACCACACCAAGCAAAGATTAGGCCTTAGGGGATTAATTTAATTAAAGCATGGGAATCTCAATTATTATGTTACAACTCAATCAAAACTCTTCAAAAGTCCCATCTCCCATGTTTATTAACATTGAATACCTAATGCTTGAGTTGTAAAGTATGTTTGATATATAATTGTATAATCCAAGTGGTTAATCAAACAAAGTTAAATTATTATTATCATAAGCAATGGTTCAAAAATCCCGGGCTCTTGCCCCTATTGCAAAAAAAACAAACACCCTAGTCTTTCAACTCTCTTGCAACATTGGTCACAAGAACTTTTGCCAAATAAATCTTTTAAATGATTAAACGTCTATCCTCTAAACATCATCCACTATTTGTATTGGTATGATAAAGATTATATAATAGGCATTAAACATCATATCATCCCACTACAAGAACATTATATGAGAGGTAAATCAGATATCCAACATTCTATTAGATAAGATGACATACATAAGTTTATATGATCGGTAAATCTGACATATAGTCTTCTGAAAGATAGACATAAGTTTTAGTGCCAAAAAGCCAAATCTAGTAAAAAATGGAGCTCTACATTGCAATAATGGTATAGTACAAACTACAAACACCTGTAGATATCTTTAGAAGTCTATAGCATCAAAGAAGTAACAAAACTAATAATATGTGTGATGATCATTTTCATTTTGAGTTAGATGTATAATAAATAAAGTAAAATATTTGTACTAAACTTTAGTTCAATCATGGAGTATATGTTGTTTTTTGATATTTGTAAGTGCATTACATAGACGATTTATAAATTTATACTAGTAATTTTAGGATAAAACCAAAAAAATAGTATAATGGAAAGAATGATAGGAATGGACATGATTGTGAGTTTTAACTTGGTGGGGTGTTATTGTCTACACAATGTCATGGAAAGACAAATTCTACCATCATCATCACAAAAGAAAAAAAAAAAAAAAAAAAAAAAAAAAAAGGTAGAGAATGAATTTGAACAGTGGCGTGAGGCGATAAAATCAGAAAAAAAGAAGGAAGAAGAAAGAGATTGGATATTACAAGCTCGGTGGTGGCTGCCTAAGACTGAGCTGACTTAGAATCATAGCGCCGGTGCCGGGACCGGAACTGGAGCTGGAGCCACCGGAGAGAAAGTCGGCGACGGCAGCCATGACTTTAATTTGCATCTCAAGAGCGGCTATATAATCAGTTGCTTCTTCTAATACAACTGGCAATGGTTGTTTCCGACAACCAGGAACCAACCGGCCGAGAACACGTGTTTTCCTTTGCACTGCCGGTAGATTTTTTGTCTTCAGCTTTAAAATACTCACTCGCGGCTTTTTTAACCGGCTATTCCCTGTTGCTGTGACAGCGGTCCCTCTTTGTCTTCTGTTATTCTTCATAAACTTAAGCTTGATTTTGTTCGTGAGAATCGCACGGCTCCATCGACTCCGACCTTTCGCTGTTACTGCAAGGACTCGGTCGGCCGCTTCACGAACGGCGCGTCCACGGCGGGGAACAGAAGGCGGAGACGTGCCGGAGTTGATCCGGACATTGCGGAGCGCTTGCAGGAGTTTTGAGCTGTATACTTGTTGCTGAGCTTCGGATTTCCATGAAATAATCTGGTTGTTATTGTTACTCGAGTTCTCAATCGTCTGATCGCCAGTAGATTGTCTATGAGTTCTCTTCTTCTTTCTTCTCTTCGATGAATCACGTGCTCTTTCGATGTTGTTCGTTACCGGATCCGAAATCAACGTCGACGATGCCATCACCAAAAGAAACCGTTGGAATTATTTCTCAGGACGGATCAATAGCCAGAGAATCCGAAAACAGTACCTGCAGATTCAAATCAATCGTGTCAGAAACAAGAATCAATAATTCGAATCAGGAAGCAGACATACAGGTTCTCTGCGTAAACAACAAACTACGCATTTCGTTGGTAATCCAAATCGAATACAAAACCGATAAAAACTTCTAAGAAATATCTACATCGAATACACAAATAACAAATCAAAAGATAATAAGCAAATTTCTCACGGAATCGGTAAACATTAAACAACAATCGATGATTTATACCTTGAAGAAGAAAAGCTGATCTAAATTCTTTCTCTAATCAATTCACAGCTTCAGATGAATCGTTCTCGATTTGCATATGCAATTCGAAAAGAATCTCAACTAATAACTATTGTTTGGTGCGTATTTGTGAGTGAGAGAGAAAGAAAGTTAGAAGAGAGAGAGAGAGAGAGAGAGAGAGAGAGAGAGAGAGAGAGAGAGAGAGAGAGAGAAGCACGCCTTGGCCCGTTCTCCTTTCTTTCTCTCTCTGTTTCTATCACGTTCATTTTAAAGCTCTTGTATTTTTCTGTTTTACCCCTTTCAGTTTTATTATTTTCCATTTTTATCCCTCTATGTTTTTGTTTGTTTCTTTATAATGTTCGTGCCATCGTGGTGGTAATATGGTCCACATGGGCCCCATCTCGCCGTTACACTTCCTCAACCCACTACGTCAACTCTTATGTTTCCGTTATCTCCCACCATTTCTATTTGCTATGCCCTCTTTTTAACTTCTTTTTTTCATTCTTATACTCCCTTTGCAAAAGTTAACGTTGTCGATTGTCGATTATGGTTTGGCTTAAATCCCGTATAAGATAAAATAACTTCTTTTTTATTTTAGAGATAATCCATGTCATATTTGTCCAGCCTAATTTCTAAATATCAAATATCGTATTTATCTAAATTCAATATTTTTAATATTTAATAATCATCTTTATATTGTAAAATCATTATAGTTATAAAAAAACTTACTTGACCATAATGCCCCTAACTCTTATATGGATGGAATTTAAGTATCTCTACTGTTTCACCCCAAATTCTGCACATCCATGGCTTTGAATGCTTCGTTGTAACCCTCAATGTATCCAATAACTAGGAATGGTAATGGGGCGGGTTCGGGGCGGGGTATGGATTCCCAAACCCGCCCCGATAACTTTCGGGTATCTTATCGGGGCGCTCCATTGGGTTTCGGGTTTCTCCGTCGGGTTTCGGGTATCTTATCGGGTTTACAACAACTGATAACGAAATCTTTATTCTCTTTTAGGGTACCCCAATGTCTTATAAAATATATATGTTCTAGCAACTCTTTTAAATTAAAAACATGATGCATCACTTTAATAAAATAAACTGGACGTTATATAAAAAATTATTTGATTTAAGTTTTGTTTAATACGTCAAAACACATAAAAATGATCATTAACACCAGATTGTTAATAACTAAAAAAATTGTCCACGATAAGTATTTTATATTTGAACGTGTACAATTAACAGCAAATTTTTTTGAACATATTATATATATATATATATATATATATATATATATATATATATATATATATATATATATATATATATAATCGGAGCGGAGCGGGGCGGGGCGAGGATAACCCACTCCCTGCCCCGAACCCGATAAAAAACCCGATAACGACCCGTTACCCGACCCGAAATGATCGGGTTCGGGTTTTTTTGCCATCCCTACCAATAACCAATCTTTTTCTTCAATACTACAACTTAGTGCATCTCTTCCTGCTAGATCGTACATCTAAAGCAAAATTTCTATTTGTGACATAAATACAAGGGATATATACAGCAAAGTCCCAATATTTTCATCGATTTAACAAGAAAAGTCCTGAACTTTATTTTTTTGACAGTAAAGTTCAAATTACCGGTAGTTTTTGACACTTTTACCCTTTTTCCCCGGTTAGCCGGTAATTAGGATTTTTTTGTCAACAAAATAAAGTTTAGGATTTTCTTGTCAAATCGTCAATTAGGACTTTACTGTCAAAAAAATAAAGTTTACGACTTTTTTGTCAAATCGTTGAAAATATTAAGACTTTAGTGTATATATAATTTTTTTTGTTAGAAGCTTAATGGTATGATACTCTTTAAACATAAGAGTTATTGAAACCTTCTCTAATCAGCTAGATCCTATTGAAATCATTTACGTTTGCTTCTTGTTAAATTGTTTTTTCTTTTATTTTCAACAAACTGACATTGAAAAAAAATTGAGATAATCAAGAAATAAAGAAAGAACCAGGGTTGTGCTATTTCATTTTTTTCGGTTTTTTCTCCATTTTTGAGATTGCAAAAAGCCAACACAACCTTGGTTCTTTCTTTCTTTCTTGATTATCTCATTTTTTTTTTAATATCGGTTTGTTGAGATTAAAAAAACGATTTAACAAGAAGCAAACGTAAATGAATTCAATAAGATCTAGCTGATTAGAGAAGGTTTCAATAACTCTTATGCTTAAAGAGTATCATACCATTAAATTTCTAACAAAAAAAAATTAAATATACACTAAAGTCCTAATATTTTCAAGAATTTGACAAAAATGTCCTAAACTTTATTTTTTTGACAGTAATGTCCTAATTGACGATTTGACAAAAAAGTCCTAAACTTTATTTTGTTGACAAAAAAGTCCTATTTACCGGCTAACCGGGGAAAAAGGGTAAAAGTGTCAAAAACTGCCGGTAATTTAGACTTTACTGTCAAAAAAATAAAGTTTAGGACTTCCTTGTCAAATCGATGAAAATATTAGGACTTTACTGTATATATCCCTAAATACAAATTTAGTATTCACTTTGATACTTTTGTCTTTTTATTTCAATTTGTATTGCCTACAAGATCGAAGGGTAATATCCAATTGTCCATCCATGTGCATAACTAGATTATTCTCGTTAAGTTTGAAATTTAATAAGTATCATATTTGAGTATTGAAAGTCGAATCAACCTCTGATCCTCTAAGGCTCTAACTTTCCACTAAGTTCAAAAGACAAACGGTTAAGACTATGATCATAATACATCAACCGAAATTCATGTTGGATATGCGCCCTTTTGCGTTGCATCTAGACGAACAAGCATATTAATCAATGGCGCAGTATCACATCCAGATCTTGGTTGAATTTAACAAAAGTGAAATTGATAAACTAGGCCAATATTGAATCCAAACAATTACCTTCTAAGATAGAATCAGGAACTACAATAAAGGTTGTCCATCAAAATCATATTTTGATCATGTCATCATTCAAATGGAATCAATTCAATGATGCGAAGAAATGGTGCAGTTTGACTTGAGTAATTAAAGCATGTACATTTGAAAGCTTTATATAAAGGGAGTTGATCCGTACACAACAATTTTTCTCCATACATAACAATTGGTGCTTTAAAATGTTGTATTGTACAGCTATATAATGCATGAAATGTTGTATATGACAAAAAATTGTTGTGTACGAATCACTTCACATATAAATCAATGGCGTCCAAAAAAACCCCACCAAAATTTTTCTAATCTGAATCGTTTATGGATTGTAAGTTGTATGTAATGAAAAAAAGAAGATTTGTAATTAGTGGGTAATGTGAAGATTAAAGAGAGTCATGAATATGTAAAATTAAAATAATGATATATGAGGCAGGGGCGTTACGCTCAAGTAAGTTTTTATTATAATTATATTGATTTTAAAATATAAAAGATATATTATTAAATACTAAAAAATAAATTTGGGCATTTATGATATTTTGAAAGGTTAATAAGAGTAAATACGATATTTAGAAATTAGGTATAACAAATACGATGTTTAATAAGGTTATATATATGAAATTCTTCCATTTTTAAATAATTATGTTTGACAAAGAAAGAATAGATTATAAGCTAGTTTATAAATTATTTAAAAAAAAGCATTTAGATTAGTTTTCAAAAGGTTTTTATTTTTTTTCAAATATCTTTAATTAATCATAAAAAACATATTCTTTTAAATGTAATTTTATATATTCTACATGATTTATCAATTAGTTTTTGTTATACGTTATTTTTTATCATTTAGTTTATAAGTTGGCATTTAACTTTTCGGCTAAAAATTATATTTTCAACTACCTTGTAGCTTTTCAGCTACTACATCAAACATAACCTTAATTTGAAAATAATATTGAAAGATTTAATGACCGATTAAATATCTAAATTATAATGTGCTCTTTATAAACGATTTTTTTAACAAAATAAATGATACTTAATCCACTATTTTCTATGATTATATATATTAATAGACGAATTCCCGTGCGTTGCGCGGCACATGTTAAAAATATATTGTTAAAATATAGTTTTCAAACACCTTTTAGTTAATTCGATTCATCAATTTAGGTTCTTTTATTATTATTATATTTAATGTTTTCCTTTTAACTATGTTAAAAATATATATTTAATTTTTTTAAACATTATTTGATATTTACTTTAGGTTTTAAATTTTACACTAAGTTTTTACGCTTATTTGATATATTAATGTATGTTATTTATTTAACTACATATTGAAGTTAACAAATTAAGTGTATCATATTTATAAGTCACAAATTCTTCCATTTGTGATAATGTTTACAACTAAAAGCATATCTAAGTTAATAAATTAAATATATTGTAAGGAAATATGAAAAGTTGGGAGATTCAAATGAATGTGATGAAAGAAAAAAAATGTTTTCTTTATAATATGGTATGATGATTATAGTTTTAATTTTTAAGTCATTAAGATATATACAATTATTTGATAATTTTATAAACCGTTTAAAATTGTGTAAATTATATATCAAACGTATGATAATCTATATATAACGAGTAACAAAATGTATGAATAAAAATATGAACTATAACTTTTAGTAACATAAAAATACAAAAACATCTATTATAACATTTGTATTAAAAAAAGATATATATACAACGAATAATAAAAAAAA